GAAAATTTATATAAGGAAACATTCTTAGGGTAATTTTGCTTCCCTGTTTACTCTGTCTATCCTCTCTCCCATCCTCAGATTTTTATTAGTTTCAGATTTATTCTTCTGATGTGTTTTTCAAATAAAAACAAATATATACATGTAGTGTTTCTTTTCCTCTTAATCAAAAGGAACTATTTTCAAATTCTGTTCTACAATTTCACTTTTTCTTACTAGAAGTTAGATTTCTGTATTAAAGTGTTAGTACATATTTTTAAAAAAGTGTAGATATTTTCAAATTGTGCTCTACAGAGATTGTATCAGTCTCAACAGCAATGGTTAGTATGGAAATGCCTGTTTCTCCAGTTTTACCAACAGAAGTTTTTATATGACATGGATCTTGATAACTCTAACAAGTGAGGCATGGTATCTCAGTGTTTTTTTTAAATCATTTTCCTGACTATGATTGATTTAACCATCTTGCATATTTAAACACTCTCATTTTTTCTAAGAATTTCTCATTTTAAAAATTTTGTATTGTTGGTGCTTTAGTTCTTGTTTTCCAGGAACTCCTTATGTAACAGGGAATTATATCTTTTTGATGAGATGCACTTTTTCCCACTTTGGTGTTTGTCTTTTAATTTCATTTACTGTGTTTATTTACCATAACATTTTTTGAAATTATCAGTTTAATGAAATTCCTCCATAAGTAATACATCTAGATTTGTATATATTTTTATAGTTAGAAAGTTTTCCCCAGTCTGAGGTGATAAATGCTTGCTTTCTTCTAGTGCTAAGTAGTATTTATAAAGTTGGAACCATGTTGTCTTTGTAGCATATTCTAGAGGATCGTATAAGCTATAAATCTGGTTATATCATTTTCCAAATAGTGATTTAGTTTTCAGAAACACTTAAAAATAATTTTCTTAGTGATTTGATATCTCCTCTTTACCATATGCTAAATTATCATATGTATTTGGGTTTATTTTTAAACTTTCCATGTAGTTCTAGTTACAGTGTGCCTATTCATTTACTAGAATCATACTGTTTTGATGATAGAAGTTTTATGTTTTTTTTTTTTTTCATTTAGGAATTCTTCCATTCTTCTTCAGGGTCAACTTTACTTGTTCATTATTTTTATGTATACTTTGGAATCAATTTAAATGAAATAAAATGCTGTTGGTATTTTTATTTGAATCATACTATTACATTTTAGCTTGGGAGACAATTAACATCTTCATGATATTTAAGCTACCTTTCCAACAATACAATATGTATTTGAATTTATTCAAAACTATTTTTTGTGTTTTTCTGCAAAATATTTTTGAGAGAGAGAGAGAGAGAGAGAGAGAGAGAATTTTAATATTTATTTTTTTTTAGTTATCAGCGGACACAACATCTTTGTACGTGGTACTGAGGATCGAACCCGGGCCGCACACATGCCAGGTGAGCGCGCTACCGCTTGAGCCACATCCCTAGCCCTTTTCTGCAAAATTTGACTATTTCCCTCAAATAGATTCTACACAGTCCTGTCAAGTGTACTACTAAGTAGTTTACAGGTTTTTTTTTGGCTATGGAAATAGGATCTTATCCATTTTATCTTCTGCCAATCATGACTATATATATGAAGGCTATTGAGTTTGTATATTAATTAACCTTACCAAATTAATAAGTATATAATTTGAGTTTTTAATCATATGGTTATGCTTTTATTGATAATGTTAAGTTTTCCAGATACAATAAAACTATCGTATCTCTTGCAATAGAGACAATTTGGCCTCTTCATTTTTGATTCTCATACTTCTAATTGATTGTTTATTGCATACTTCTAAAGTGTGCAGTATTTTACTGACAATATTTGACATCCTCGCTGCCTTTCTAATATTAGCATGAACTTATTCAATGTCTTTTGCCCCTCAGTCTACATATATGTACCTCATATTTACAAATGAAGTATTTATTAATTACTATTCTATTGGGTGTTTTCATCAGGAATAATTGAATATTGTCATATGACTTCTCAGCATCTATGGAAAGGAGCAGAGGATTTGTTTTTTAGTAGCTCAATTTGAAAGACAAAAGTAGCTGTCTGTTTTCTGCTCTGCTCCAGAGATAAAAATAATACACCTTCCCTGAAGTAATACATATCTTTGATTTTTTTGGCTTAATTAAATTGTTTATTATAGCAATTATTGCAAAATAATTCAAAAGATAGATCATGATATTCAAGTTCATAGACTAGAATATAGTAGTAAAAATAAAGGCAACTACTCACATTAACACAACATGCATGGATTAAGTCATAAAATAGTATGATAGAATATGAAGAACTTCCAGAAGAGGGCAAAACTCCACTACATATAGGTACTGAAAACATTTAAAATATCTATAGCATGATTTAAAAAATAGTATAATGGTTTATTCTGGTGGGAGCTAAGGCAGTGTTATCAAGAAGGAGTATCCAGGGGGCTTCTAATGTACTAATATTTTTTTATTGAGGATTTGTTTCATTCTTTTTCTTTAAACTGTTCATATATGTGTACATTCTCATTTCTATACCTGAGACAGTTCATTATAAAAATAAGGCAGTTGTAAATACTCCCTGAATTATAGTTTTAATATTTTCATTGATTTTTCACCACTAGACTTAAATGTTTATGTACCTGGACTTATAGACTCTGAACTCATGGCCTTGTGCATGCAAGTCAAGCACTCTACCAAATGAGCTATATCCCCAGCCCCATGAAATAAGAATCTTTAAGAATAATAAAAGTTAAAACTTAGCTAACAGATGGATTTCATAAGGTAAAATACTGACATCATATAAAACAAAATGATTCAAATTCCTTTAACAATGACCAATGGATTTTAAGGCAGGCATGGGGGTTTATAATTGTGACTACATCTCATATACTATAAAGCCCGATTTTCTAATTCCAGAGCTCCAGTTCATTTAATGATCAAATGAGCAATCTGCTTCTTCTTAAATCTGTATTCTCTTCAGAGTGAAAAGCACTTGTTACATCTGCATTGTTTGAGCATCTGTCCTCTTCAATTTTAGTACAACTGTCAGGAAGGTGCACAATATCCTCTAAAGCATCAGCAAGGCCACATCTAGACATCTGGGAACTATTTGCTAATGGTTAATTTACATTCCCATTAACTTTTTCTTCTTCAGTTGAATTTTTTAGCCTTCACAAGTTCACTGTACTCTGGGCCTGGATCATGAAGTTTGGTGTTATTACAGATTGTAAACTGTTTGCAAGGGAGGCAGCCTGCAGGTGCTGCATCTGGAGGAGGTTAACTGTTACAGCTTTAAGGGTAAGATCATACTGGAAAACAAGCGTCTTGAGTTGTGTTAAAATTTCTCTTTTGGGGGGCGGCTGGGGTTGTGGCTCAGCAGTACAGCGCTTGCGTAGCGTGTGCAAGGTCCTGAGTTTGATCTTCAGCACCACATAAAAATAAATAAAACAAAAGTATTGTTTCCAACTACTACTAAGCAATAAATACTTAAAAAAATGTTTAAAAAATTTCTCTTTTGGTATTTTCTAGATAATTTTGTCTTTCTTCAATATGTGTTACACAAGCTTTGTAGAGTTCATTTGCTGTTTCTACTTTTTGAAGCACTTCCTCTTCCAACATTCCTTTTTTTTTTTTGGTAGTTGCTTGTTGGGATTTTTTTTTTTGCTAATCTACCACTTGAACACTGATGCTCCTCCTCTGCACGAAACATGCATATTCATTTTCATCTTCACATTGCATGCATAACAATTTTGCCTTGAGAGCAGTTTGTTTGAGCATTTTATTTTGTTGCTGTTTCCAAAGTTCCTTTATTTCTTTCCTTTGTTTTTCCATTTCATTTTTCCTCTCCAGTGGAGGCTGTACAAATTGTTGACTTGGAGAGCTGCAACTCTTTCTTGTAAAAGGTGACTATTCTCTATGCCATTGAGGAGAGCACCGGTAAATAGAGACTGTAGGAGTATAAACTCCTGTAGTCCAATGTTAGTTCTAGTTGCTTCTGTCAACTTTACAATATTTCTGGTGGATGCCAATTCCAAGTTAAGCTTTTTTTTCAACCCATGACACTATGTTCTTTGTACATTTTGACCATATGTTAGCATATAACAAGGCAAATTCAATAAAGTTAGTTTTTTTTTTTTTTAACAGCACATGGTCCAATTCTATAGGAGAAAAATTTCCTTCTGTGGACTCAGCACTGAGTCCACAGAAAAGTTTTCAAAAGGCTTACTTTCCCGAGAAATAGGCAGTTGTAACAATGAGTCCTTGCCTACATCTCCCATAAGGAAGTCCATAAAGATATTCCCAAAGTTAAATGCCAAAGTTTCAATAGAAGAAAACACTTCTAGGAATAGGTCATTTTTGTTTTCTTCATTAACTTCTGAGAAATTCACAGCTTTCACTTTTGCAGTATTTCTGCAGCATTTTGAAGATCAACAGAATTGAGATTCTGATGCTTATCATTACAGACTTTAAAACATGGAGATCATCCAGAAGTCTATGAATGTCTTCTTTAAGACAGTCTGAAAGAATAGCCTCTTTTAAATACAGTAACACATGGGAGAACTTCCTGGTATCTCTCACCAACTCCTTGATGTAGTCCGGATCAAAAGTAGAGTTGGAACTTATGGACTTGAGCCCCATTTCAGAAGGTGGCCTGATACCCAAACACGTTTTTCTCTGCCTTTTCCTTTTTGTAAGCAATCATCCTCTCGTTTAACAGTCAGAAAAACTGAAATCTGAGCTCCGCAACGTTCCAACAGCGCCCGCTCGTGGGCGCCCGTGACGTCCCCGCTCGTGGGCGCCTGTCGCGTGGTTTGATCCTGCAGGACTTCGCTCCGCTCGCCCGTAGCTGCCCCCGTTGGGGCCCACTGCGTGGCGGGCGAGACCCGAGACCGCAACTGGCAGATGGCAGGCTCTGCAGTCCCGAACCGATCAGGCGCCAGAGCGAGCACCGCCGTCCCACACTCACCGCAGCGCTCCATTCCACCTCCCGGACGCTGATGCCTGCCCAAAGCTCACCACAGCAGCTGCCCCCGCCGCCCCCGCCGCCCCAATCCCACACGCAAAGCCCGCAGACACCCGGCCAAGCCATCGCCACGATCACACCTGTATCTTTCATTTAATGGGGAGAGACTAATAGTGAATTATGTTGGAGAAGAAATCTTAGTTAGTCATCTCAAAGTACTTGCTGTCCTACTCATCTTACAGGTTGATTTTAGGGATAACAATCACTGCAGTTATGAGGTTTTATATGTGTTCCCAGGGGCACCACTGGAAGGTCCTGGAGCATGTTAAGAGCAACTGCTGATGACTTCACATTGTATGGACTTTACTCCAAGTACTTATTCAGGTTCTTGATCCTGGACTTGCACACCCTCATTATTGCCCTCAGTGGGAAGGACTGGTAGGGATAGAGTTTGTTTTGGCTCCTGGGCTTCTGCATAGGGAAGTATGCATTCTTCATTCCCATCCTTTTCTTGGCTAAAGCTATTATGCTGTTCCTATTTTGGGCCTTGTAATCTGTGGAGGAGCTCATCTGCATGTTGCATGTCCTCCTTGTATACATGCTATTTTTAAAATTAATATTGTGAAATGCCTCTGTTTCGTCGGCTTTACCACTGAGCATTCCTGTCTTTCCTGTGACCCATCTGGTGCCACTGCTGCCTCTTGATGTACATGTCAGCCCACATAGGTTCTGTCCCTAATGCAGAACATCCTGAAAGAGACTCTTTTGGGCTTAGAGTGAAGAGATTTTAAAGACAGACTTTTCAGGCTTTTAACTCTATCCTTGCCATGTAGGTGGTCTTTATGTTCCTGATTCTCCATAGGTACAGCTTGATCCTGCTGATCAGGGTCCAGTGTCTCTTAGAAGATACAATTGGGGAGGCTTTATGTGACCCTTTTGCTCATAGTTCTGGTCTTTCTCCTCTGTGGTTCACCCCTCGCATCTACTGGTACCTATTTCACTGGGCAGTGGTCTATCTCAAGGGCATTAAGCCTTGTCTGATAAGTGTTCCTCCTGTACTGATTGAACCCCATCATTTATTTCTTTGTTGGCTCTTTTATGCACCATAATTATGGAAAAGCTCTGAGTCAATTCTACAGAGGTTCCTGGAGGTGTGGGCTGGAGATAGAGCTAAGGCAATAACTGCCGTGATTGTTATCCCTAAAATCAACCTGTAAGATCAGTATGATAGCAAGTACTTTGAGATGACAAACTAGGATTTCTTCTCCAACATAATTCACTATTAATCTCTCCCCATTAAATCTTCCCATGGGAACAAAGATGTCAGGTAGAGAGTGCAAACAGTGTTATAAATGGATTTTAGAGTCAGAGAAATATGGGTTGGATATTATATATGGTTACTAGCTGTGTTACTTTGGGAAATGTTTTATTTTTTTAATTCTTCCTGAAAATTAAATATTAATTTAGGACTGTAATGACCTAAAAATTATAGGAATAATATGATGATCAAAGGAGGTAATGCATAAAATGTTCATCAAATGTTTAATGTGATGATAATCGTGGTGACAGTGATGATGAGATGAACATAATGATATCAGCCTGTTGATGGAAAGATTTTCTTGAAAGGAGTGCAGCAGGAGAAGCCTTTCCCTAAAGTTTAGCCACAGCATTAGCTCATTGATTCCCAGGAAAGCAGGAGGAAGTGTTCCCCACCATGATCATAGAACCAATTCAAACCATGTAATTTATTCCCAGATATAGGCAGATATTCTCTAACTGCAATTCCCAAATCCCCCAAACTTCGAAAGTCTAAAGTTTGTTTTGTAACTATTATCAAAGCTTATTGGCCAGAAATTCTGTGGGGGCAGAGTGTTGTCTTTTTAATCTCTTTTACTGTGCATAGTAAATACTTTGCAGAAATATTAATTTGTTTTATTATGGAGTGCAATCTCAGACTGCACTATGGGTTAAATGATATATTGTAGCATCATATATAGTGTTTTGTATATGATCTGGTTTAGCTGAAAGGTTTACTATTAAGACTTTGAACCTGCTTCTAAAATGGAAAATTGTCAGGGACAGAGGGACTGTATAATACCCTGGGTAGTGAATACAGACCAAATAAGTAGAGCATCTTGGTCATTAGTTGCTACTTAGTAACAAGTATTTTTTTTCCATTCAAGATCAACATACACACATCATTACTGTTATAAGGGCTGTTATGTTTACAAGTACTTGAAAAATTTGAGTCTTTCTCCTTGGGCAGTGTGATTGAAACAAATGACTGTACCTCTGTGGGGTGACTCTGTTGATGAGAATTTACTCTGAGGTCAGGATTCTGTTCAGCCCTCAGCTCATGGAGAACCCCAGAGAGCTGGAAGAGATAAAAAGTTGCAACCAGTGGTGTGACCACAGCCCTCTTCTTATTGGAGGGCAAGTATCTTTAATCTTTATATCTATCAACTGCTGTGATGCAAACCTCAGGTGGTCCAGAAGGGAGAGTTGAGAGGAGTCGGTGCACAAGAATCAGTCCGTGCATTGGTCATGAAATTGGTACTGAGTTTTCATTTTCAATTGCTAGAGATGCAAGTACAGGTCACATAGTTTGCCATTACTCAAATTAATAAAAATGCCTTCTTTGGATCTCTGGAAACCACAGAAAACAATGTTTAATCACCTTCTGACATTTAATAGTTTCCTACTTATCTTACCATTCTCATTTGTTACTTCTACCTTTCTTATGTTTTCTGGCAATCCTCTACCTCTCTGTAAACCAATAGACACTGAGATAAAAGGTGCTGAGTATGGAAAGGGTCATGCCTTTCTCTCAGTGTGGTGGAGCCAATCTAGACAGGAGCTGAATGAGTTTGGGTGGTGGTATTAGTGTTGGTAGCTCACTGTATTGTGGGCTTCAATTTTGTAATGATTTGCTGCCGTTGTCTTGTGTTTAGGATGAGGTCTGAGATGTCAGTGGATTTTTCTCACTGTTCCTGGTACTCATTAAGCCTTCAGCCTTGTTTGTACTACATGTTTTTACTACAATTAATGTCAGTCTGCATGAGCATGGTCAACCCCCATGGTAGACTACTGTTGATTGCTAGTCAGTGCCAGGCTTTGTGTGGAAGCAGGGGGTGGTGCTCTCTTGTACTTGTTCAGCCCCAGGTTTAGGCCAGTCCTGTGTATTGTTTCTTGATGTTGAAAGAACATTGCATTCTCAAAATAAACCCCATTTTGTTGTGATATATCATTCTTTTTATATATTGACAGATTCTCCTGGTTAATATGTTTTCCAGTTTTTATTGGTGCATTATAATTGCACATATAGTGGGATTCTTTGCTACATATTTATACATGGAAACAATGTAACAATATAATTTGACAAATATCATTCCCTGGCTGGCAAATATTTTTTAAAGGATTTTAAAAGATAAAGTGGATATTTCATTCATTTGTGCTCAAACCAGCCAAACTGGTACTTATTCACCACGTTGCAGCCAAATATCTACAAATATTTGTGAGCAAATATTTGGTGGTGTAAGGCACAGAGGCCAAAAAGGTTGAGGATATCAATGAAACACATCATAATTTAACCCTTGACCTTAGCAATTGAGCTTTTTATTTTTAGTTTATTTTTTTAGCATGTTAAGTGTCCTTTATTAAACGTAATATGGTAATACTAATGAATGTTCAGCACTCAGCTTCTGCTGTGAAGCAAAAGCACAAAACAATTCTTTCTAAATTTTTTTTATTAGTTCTAATCAGTCATACATTGAAGTAGAAAGCTTTTTGATTCATTGAACACAAATAGAGCACAACTTTTCATTTCTCTGGTTATACACGATGCAGAGTCACAGCACATGTGCAGTCACACATGTGCCTAGGGTAATGATGTTCATCTCATTCCACTATCTTTCCTACTCCCATGCCCCCTACCCTTCCGTCACTCCCCTTGGCCCAATCAAAGTTTCTCCATTTTCCCGGTACCCCCTCCCCCCTGCCCCTGCCCTATTATGGATCAGCATCCACTTATCAGAGAGAACATGCTGCCTTTGGTTTTTTGGGATTGGCTTACTTTGCTTAGGATGATATTCTCTGTCTATCAATTTATCTGCACATGGCATAATTTTATTCTCTTTTAATGCTGAGTAATATTCCGTTGTGCATATACACCACAGTTTCTTTATCCATTCATCTATTGAAGAGCATCTATGTTGGTTCCACAGTTTAGCAATTGTGAATTGTGCTGCTATAAACATTGAAGTGGTTGCGTCACTATAGTATGCTGTTTTTAAGTCCTTTTAGTATAGACCAAGGAGTGGGTCAAATGATAAATGGGGTGGATTCAAATAAAAAAAAAACACTTCTCCTCAGCAAAAGAAATAATCAAGGAGATTAACAGAGAGCCTACATTTTTAGAGCAAATTTTTGCCACATGCGCATCAGAGCACTGATTTCCAGGATATATAAAGAACTCAAAACACTTAACACCAAAAAAAAAAAAAAAAAAAAAAAAAAAAAAACCCCCCCCCAAAAAACACCCAATAAATAAATGGGCTAAGGAGCTGAACAGACACTTCTCAGAATAAGATATACAATTGATCAACAAATATATGAAAAAATGTTCAACATCTCTAGTAATTACAGAAATGCAATCATCTCACTCCAGCCAGAATGGCAGTTGTCAAGAATACAAGCAACAGTAAGCGTGTTGGTGAGGATGTGGGGAAAAGACACACTCATACATTGCTGGAAAGCAGTATGGAGATTCCCTAGAAAACTTGGAATGGAACCACATTTGACCCAGCAATTGAGCTTCTAAAAGTAAATCTTTCCAAATCTCAGAAAATATAAAAGAGCTTTTTTTAACACATCATTTTACTTTTTACTTCATACTTTTGAGATTAGATTTTATATTGTAAATATAACCAAACTAGTATTACTTCTACTTATGTATAGCCAGAGACAACTTCTAGTCTATATTAAAGTTATTTAAATCTCTTTGATTAGGCTCCAGTCATATCCACCTTCCAAATTGACACACAGGCACAACTAGAGCCAGAATATTGGGCAGGGATACATATCTCTAAAACAAAAAGAATCTTATAAGGAAGAAAGAAATTCAGCCACTGCCCAGAATGAAATTGAAAACACTCACCTTCACACAACTTCAGCTGGTATGTTTGTTTATCGAGTAATTAGGAATAAACACTCAGTTTTTAGAGGAGCTAGAAAATAGAGTTTCCCAAGCAGTTTCCAAGATGGGTACCAAATCACTTGCAAAAAAATTTCGCTGGAGATGCATACAGGGCTGTAGAGATTCCTCTCCACCACTGTGAAATGGATTATTCCAGGCTTGATTGTTTCTGGCTTGGGAGTACCAAGCCTGACTGCTCCAGGGAGGGTTGCCCCTAGACTGGCTGTTCCAGTCTGGTTGCTCCACATTGAGGGATTTCCCAACGTGTTCAGCAGGCAACCTGGATATAGTTGGAGAAGAAGCCTGAGTATTCTGTAGATACTGAGCCCTTCTGAGTCAGACTATTTCCACTTTTTGGCCCCTTGCTTCTCTGCTCTTTTTGGTATTCCATTCTCTGATTGTGGAATCAGGTCTTAATCTGTTTGTAGCTAAGTTTCAGAATACTGGAAAGTTGTGGAATCTGTTAGAGGCTGACATATTTCTTTGAAATCTATCAGTGAGTGTAATCAAATATGATGACCTCAGTTTGTTCACATTTTTTTACTTTTATGTTTCTGAAATTTATCATTAGCAATGCCCTGACTTTTATTCCTGTCATTAGCAATTTGTGTCTTATTTATATTTTACCTTGATTATATAATCATATGTTTATAAATTTTATTGATCTTTCAAATTTGGTTCAACTTATTTTCTGTATTTCCCATCTGTTCTCATTTCCATTACTTTACATATCTCAATGATTTCTTTCCTTTCTTGTCATATATTTAATAAGCACTTATCTTTCTAATTTTTAAGGTTAAAGTATATTTATTATTTTTACATTCTACTTGTCTAATAATTAAAGCTAAAAATTTCCCTGTAAGATTTTGTGCATTCCACCATTTGATGTTGTTTCTATTTTCAGTCAGAATATTTTCTTATTCTTAGTTTCAGTTATTTCTTGACTACTATTTGTTTAAAACTGTTGTTTCTCCCTTCCTTAACACTGCCTACAAAAGTGTCAGCCAACTCTATTCAGCATAATGGCTGTCCTCAGATCTTCTCATGGGTTTTAGCCCATGCCTCTGGTTTGAGGTTGTCCTGTAGAACTCAAGCCATAACAGTGAACAGACATCAACCTTTCAGAGCCAAATTTAACAGGACTTACACTTGAATAAGTCTTTATGTGAAGCCCAAAATTGTCAAGAAGAGGACCAGGAAGTTCATCTGGCACCAGTCAGACCAATATGGCAAAATTAAGCATAACTGGAAGAAACCCAGAGGTATTGACAGTAAGGTGCAGAGAAGATTCAAGTGTCAGATCTTGATGCCAAACATTGGTTATGGGAACAATAAGAGAACAAAGCACATGCTACTCAGTTACTTCTGGAAGTTTCTTGTTCATAATGTCAAGGAGCTGGAAGTGCTGCTGACATGCAGCAAATCTTACCGTGATGAGATTACCCACAATGTTTTCTCCAAGAACTGCAAAGCCATCAGGGAAAGCAAAGTAGCCCAACTGGCCATCAGAGTCACCACTCCCAATGCCAGGCTGTGCAGTGAAGGAAATGGATAGACAGATCACATGCACATTGTTTTTGTGTGTGCTTAAATGAAATCACAAAATCTGCCATCTGGCATTTCCATCCTGCCTCAGAAACTATGTTATTTAATTTCCAAATATCATTTTGTTAGATTTTAAACTTTGTTAGTAATATAAAATGTATATATGGAGTACTTAATCCTTTTATATCGATTGTGATGTCAAATAACATGGTAATAATAGAATCTGTCTTGGTGAATATTTCATGAGCACTTGAAAATAAGGTGTATTCCACTCTTGGATGGATTGCTCTCAAAATGTCAAGTTGGTTGTTACTCTTGCTCTGGTCTTCACTATCCTTATTGATTCTTTTGATTTGTTCTATCAGTTTCTGAGAGGAAATGCTGAAAACCCCACTTTTGTCTGGCTTGCCCATTAGTCATTTCAGTTCTATCTGTTCTTTTTTTTTAATTTTTGGCTGTAGATATACACAATACCTTTATTTTATTTATTATTTTTTTAAAATGCTGTGCTGAGGATCAAACCCAGTGCCTCACATGTGCCAGGCAAGCATTCTACCACTGGGCCAAAACCCCAGCAGCTTATCAATCCTTATTTAGTGTGTTTTTAAGATCATTTATTATGGGCTGAGATTGTGGCTCAGCAGTAGAGCGCTCGCCTAGCATGGGCGGGGCCTAGGTTCGGTCCTCAGCACCAAATAAAAATAAAGGCATTGTGTTGTGTCCTTCTACACCTAAAAATAAATGTTTTTTTAAAAAGATCATTTATTATGTACATACACATTTAGAATTCTTATGTGTTCTTGATGTAGTAATTCCTTATCATTAAAAAATAACCCTCTTGATCCCCATAATATTCCCGATTGTAAAGTCTGCTTTTTTTCCACTATACGTATATGGCTACTTATCTTTTCTTTGGTTAGTATTTCTCTTGCATAAAACAACATCTCCTGTAGAACACAACTATCTGCATTTACCAAGAGAGAGTGACATGGGTACCAGTTTTTTCTTGTGGGTTTTTAGCACATGACAGTAGAATCCATTCTGGAACAACTATAAAAGCATGGAATATATGTTGTTTTACTGTAAAATTATATGCATGCTATGTTGGCAGCAGCCATATACATCTCATCTTAATCAGCTCTCTTAATGGCTTCATTTCTCTTGTGCTTGATATAACTTTGTGTTGTTTGCTTAATAGGCTGTTCTGTTACCATATAAGACTATTTAAGTCAACTCTATATGTTTGTACAAAGATGAAATTGCCTATGGATGCAATAAGTGAGTGTATAATAAGCATTCACATACACACTCCCCAAATGAAGCATTCATTAAATTTTTGTCATATTTCTTCCAATTACTCTTTAGAAGTGAATAAATAGAATTCTACAGGTACCCCTAAAGCATACTTCTGCATCTCTTCTCAATGTACAATTAAGAATTTTAGAGGCTGATATACATTATTCTAACACATTATGTTAAAACAGCAGTTTATTCTAAATATCAAAATATTGCACTTCAAAAGAGGTATAAGTGACATGCAGACTCTGAATATGAGTTTTCTGATAACTGATTAGCAATTTTTAAGCCACCATCAATATCAAGGCTATAAAGATGTTTGGGGTTTATTTTTTATGTGAGTAATAAAATGCTGAACTATTTATAGATGAACTATCTTCCCTGCTCCAGTTGGGCCTTTTGAAGGCAGAAAGACTACAAGAGAAGTAGGTGTGTTCTACTGTTTCTCTTTCTCTGCTACTTCTTCTTCTTGTTATATCCCTCTGTATCTTTGTTTCTAAACCATTGTATTGGACATGTTCCTGAGAGGATGGTATAGAGAGCAGAACATTGCTTTTTGCTTGTCCTGCTGTGGTGACTTGAATGCTCCTGTATGCACTTGCCAGTATTGTAGAGTTGATTCCAACTAATTTTACAAAACTTATGCTGACTCCTATCACTTCAAGGCTATATAGTCATTGCTTATTTCTTACAGCATTCTAGCCTTAAGATTTTTCTTTAAAGGGATTTTGCAATCAAAACTAAACACTTGGAAACTCATTTACATTTCTATGCTTTTATTTACAACATCACTACAAATGATCTCTTCTTCCATTTCCATTTGTTCAGGTCCACGTTTTCTTTCCTTGCCAACTTAAAAAAAAAATTGATGTGGCTTGTAGAAGTGGCAGAGGCACACTCTTAGTAATTGTAGAATCATTGGTTCCAATTCCAAGTAGTTCAAGAAGTCTTCCCTGTCTATTGGCCACCACATACACACTTACTTGTGAGATCTTTTTGCACTCTGATCCCTGTCTCAGAATTTGCATGCAGAGAGGATTTTGACCAGTTAGCATCAATATGACAGGCATGTCTAAGGAGATCTCTTCTTATAAACTCTGTACAAATCTTCTGCAGAACAGGAATGAAATTACATCTATTTTTACACCTGAGTTGATGTATTGACAATATTGGTGCCCAAGACAGATAGCTGCCACATAGGTGGAAAGAATACTGTGATTTCAGAGGCTGCTGGACTCACAATGGTAGTTTCCTCTAGTCCATGCCATGGTGAAGTCAAACCCCACTGTCTTATTCTGAAAACAGATTCCAGACGATGAATGTTTTAAGATTCATATTTTAATCTTGTGACCCAGTTTAGTCATGGAGTCAGCTTGAGAATCCTGTGTCCCAACCCCATGTCCAGTGCTCTTTCCAATCTAGTGCTTAAAGGTTCTGTATCACAATGTGTCCCAAGTGTTTTAGTCAATTCCGTGACCAAAAGATCTGACAAGAACAATTTTAGGGAGGAAAAGTTTATTTGGGGGCTCACAGTTACAGAGGTTTTAATTCATAGATGACAGACTCCATTCCTTGGGGCCTGGTGTGAGACAGGACATCAACAGAACAGTGTGTGGCAGAGGAAAGCCACTGGGAACATGGTGCCAGAAGCAGAGAGTTCTCCTCTCTCCAAGAAAAAAATATGTATTCCCAAATCATACCCCAATGACCTACCTCCTCTAGCCACAGCCTACCTGACTTCAGTTACCACTCTTAAAACCCAAGTGTTTCCAAACCTTCTTGCATTGTCTCACACATGAGCTTTTTGGGGACACCTCATATCTAAATCATAATACCAAGATTTCAACTATTGGAATACTGGTCAGGGCAAGAGGTAAATAACTGCTTGCCAGTTCTCAGGATGAAAGGCTCTAATTTAAACCACTAAAAAAACCCCCCATGGCCAACTAGTCACCATGCCATGGACAAATTCTACCATTTTTTGTGAGCTTTTTTTAATGTAGGGCAGTAAGGACATTATTTTCCCAAACCCAAAGAATTCAATAACATTTAAAAGTAGTAGAACTCCATCAGAACCAAACTTTCTTTGTACAACAATTGCAACATGATTCTCAGAACATAGTGAGAGAGAAATTGCAACATGATTCTCAGAACATAGTCTGAGAGAGAAATAAGGAATCATTAATTTTTTAAATAACTTTTGGTAGAAAACAATCATAAATAAGAGGTTTAGCATTTTGAACAAAATTCTTTCCATTGAAATTAAAATTACAAAGAAAAGATTCAGAGGAAGATAGGATAAGGACAATCCATTTTAAAATAAATACATTTGAAGACCATGGGTAATTTTAGAGGCACAGGCTCTAAAATGGTGGGGGCAGGGTTGACTCCCCAAAATACATCTAATGGACCAGAGCACAGGTTCTTCATCCATGCTCCACTCTGCTGCCTGACATCTCCAGGGATCCCTGAGGAAGGCTGTCTCCACATTCATCCTCCTCAGGAGTGTCCTGCAGAGCCCGCTCAAGCACCAGCTTGAGGTTCTGACGCTGCAGCCGCTGCCTAAAGGAGCCAACAAAGAAATAAATGATGGGGTTGGTGCAGCTGTTAACACAAGAAAAGACATTTGAAACCAGATAAAGACAAGTGTATGCATCAAAATCAACTGAAATCCAGTCTGACAGAAATAAATAGATGCCAAAGGGCAGTTCACAGAGGATAAAGACCAGCAATGTGAGCAGGATGGTCACATACAGCTTGGTCAGTGTCTTATGCCTAGAACCACAAAGGATTCTCCACAGCAGGGCCAGGCTGGACCCTGAGAAAGTCACAAATAAAAAAATCAGCCATGCAGTTATGATTAAATCAACTTTTATACACCAATGAACTCCACTATTAATAATCAAGGTAGAACAATAGACCATGTCCAGGACGCCAAAAAACATGGACAGGGCCCAGAGCAGGGCACACATAATTGCTGACATGTGTCTAGGGCGGCGACAGCGATACCAGATGGGCCACAGGGCTGACAGGCAGCGCTCGGTGCTAATAGCACTAAGGATGCTCAGGCCTGCGATATAGGAAATGATTCCCCCAGTTCGCGCGATGTCATATGTAGGGACAGAGAAGTGAAAGAACATTTTGACAATGTCCACCAGGAAAGCAGTGATATGGAAACAGAGAAAGAAGAAGTCAGAGGCAGCCAGGTTTAGGATATAGACTGAGAAGGCATTTCTGCGCATGCGGAAGCCCAGGAGCCAGAGCACAGATGCATTTCCTGTCAGTCCAACCAGGGCAATGAGGAGGGCCAGCACTTTTGGAAGAAGGTTATTCCTGTCACAAGTTGGAGGAAGGTGCTGGTAACTTCCATTGGTTGGTGTGGCTTCTGTACTCCAGGCTGTGATGGTTGGATCCAGGCTCTCCATCTCTGCACTGGTGCCCCTGGGAAAAAAACAAGACTCAAGGGCTAAGGAACTAACAGACACTTCTCAGAAGATAAGCAATCGATCAACAAAAATATGAAAAAAAAATGCTCAGCTGCTCTAGTAATTAGAGAAATGTGAATCAAAACTACTCTAAGATGTCATCTCACTCCAGTCAGAATGGCAATTATCAAGAACACAAGAATTTAAAAATGTTGGTGAGGATGTGGGGAAAAAGACACCCTCATACATTGCTAGTGGCACTGAAAATTGGTGCAACCACTCTGAAAGGCAGTATGGATATTCCTTAGAAAACTTGGAATGGAACCACCATTTGACCTAGCTATCCTGTTCCTTGGATTATACCCAAAGGATTTAAAATCAGTATTCTATAGTAACGTAGACACATCAATGTTCATAGCAGCTCAATTCGCAATAGCTAAACTGTGGAACCAACCTAGATGCCCTTCAATAGATGAATGGATAAAAAAATACTGTGGTGTATATACACAATGAAATATCACTTAGCATTAAAAGAGAATAAAATTATGGCATTTGCAGGTAAATGGATGGAGTTGGAGAATATCATGCTAAGTGAAGTAAGCCAATCCCCCCCAAAAAAACAAAGGCTGAATGTTCTCTGATAAGTGGTTGCTGATCCATAATGGGGTGTGTATGTGGGAAGAATGGAAGAAGTTTGGACAAAAGGGAGGTGGAGAGGGAGCATGGGGGTAGGAAATATGGTGCAACCAACGCAATGAAAAGTTGTGCTCCATTTGGGTACAATAAAGTGAAATGCATTCTGCTGCCATGTATAACTAAATAGAACAAATACAAAAATATTAAAAAAGCAAGACTCGTCACTTCCTGCATGAGGTCAGTTTATCAGATCACCCTGATATGTGGAAATTAGTTATCTCCATTTTAAAGAAGAGGAAAACAAGATTGCAGAAATGAAGGAACCTACAAAGAGTGGGGGATTCTTGAAATATGGATTCAAATTCAACACAGATCGTCTAAAAAGTTTCTGAGCTCTCTGACCTGAAATTAAATGACATGGAAATATATTATGATCCAAACCTCCACTCATGGGGTAGAGTTAAGGACTAGTTAGCACTGCTCTGCCTTGGCACTAAAGTTTGCTATTAGGTGCAGGAATTGAGATAGACACAGGTTACATCCCAGGTTACATCCCAGATCATGACATCCCCTTGCCTATGAGTGTTCCATCCAAGGAGAAGAAGACCTGGATTTATATCCATGAGGGGAATGTGAGCTTCTGGTAGGACAGGAGAGGATGGCTAGGTTTAAAAATACCTCACTGTGTCAGACATTGGAGACAGGATCACTTTTTAATCCCTGGTGCTTAGCTTTATGTGTGGCTCACATATTCTCAATACTCATTGAAGAATGAATATATTAATGAGGAGGCTTAAAGTGTTAGGTGATTTGGGTTAAATAGAAAGTAAAATTGGGAATAAAATCCTTTGACGTGCATATAATGAGATGAAGGAAATATCATTCATCATAATTCTTATTGTGAACAAGAGTGGGCATATTCACAATGACTTGCATGTCCCCAAATAACTGATGTTGATGGCTGATATGCCTTTGAAGTGACATTTGAATGACTTTTTCAGCACCTAGAGGCATTTTGGTTCACAGTGTATGTGTCAGATTTGTGTTTTAGCAAAATTGCTTACCCTCTGAAGAGGGTATAATAATGGATGAGGTTTTGGAGCCACTGAAAAGAAGTGTTTTAAATAAGGGGATATCTATGGAGGACTACTGAGTGGTGGATACAATATAAACTTACTCGGTTCTCTCCCAGGTGATCCTTATTTACATTTTCTTTGTTGACAAAAGCTTTTGTGTGAGAGGAGTGTATGTGGGTAATAGAAAAAGTTGAGGGATGGGAGTGTAAAGTGATTGCTCAAGGAGATTTCCATTAAGGAAAGAGGACAAGATCATACTTTAATGATTAACAGGAGCTGATTGAGAGTTTATTGGATAATTTTTCTTTGAACTCTCTCAAGAGCTATGAGGTAAGAATTAGTATTTTTCACATTTTTTACCATGAATGGAATCAGAGCAAAACAGGATGAGCAATAGCCGCCTTCCTTTTTTCCCCATACAGTGTAGATTTGAAACCCCAGGTTCTACACTTTGAGCAGTACTTTGGATCCACCACTACTGTGTGTCCGTTATATGTGGATGAGGGAAAAGCAGAGGAGTAACTCCCAGGTTACATCCCAGATGGCAATCAAAATTGTGGCTGAGATAAAATCTAATGTACGAAAACTTCAGAAACAGACAAGAAGAGAAGTCAATCTAACAGAGAACAAAAGAGGTGGGTGAAAGGCAGTTAGGAGAAGATATGAGAAATGAGAAGCCCTCTCCTGTCTCACAAAGGCAGCCATGACTTCAGAACACAGAGCACTCAGAGGGGCTGGAGGCTTCTGAGTAGAAAAAGGTCACATTCTCCTCTTTTGGCCTGCAGAGGAACCTCAGACAAGATCCTTCTTGAATTTTCTTTGAAAGACCATTCCCCCCAGCATTGCTTGGCTTGAACAGGAAATAAGGGGAAAAAAACAGAAGTTCTGCTTGCCATACTCAAGGCACTTTACAGTTTGTACATCTGTTTTTAGAGTGTGGTGTATTGGTCTTTCTAATGAAAACTGAAGCTCTCTAAAGACTATGCCATGTCTGTTTTATTTACTACTATATCCCAAGATTTAGCTTGTGTTTTTCCAGACCATCTATTGTAATATTCTCACTTAAAAAGAAACAGACTTGGGCTGGGGATGTGGCTCAAGCGGTAACGCGCTCGCCTGGCATGCATGTGGCCCGGGTTCGATCCTCAGCACCACATACAAACAAAGATGTTGTATCCGCCGAAAACTAAAAAAAATAAATATTAAAAAAATTCTCTCTCTCTCTCTCTCTTTTAAAAAAAAGAAACAGACTTAAACATACAAACTTCTCTGAAATTGGATCTTCAAGAACAGGTTCAATACAGGATTCTGGTATCCTGGAGCCCTGTCTTTTTTTTTTTCAGGTATTTTCTTAAAAAAAATTTTTAATTGATTTTATTTTTTTAAATACACAACAGCAGAATTCATTACAACTTTTATTACACATTTAGAGCACAATTTTTCATATCTTTGTATAAAAAGTATGTTCAGGCCAATTCATGTCTTTATACATATACTTTTTTTTTGCATTACAATTCTTATTACACATATATACCACAATTTTCATATCTCTGTTTGTATATAATGTATGTTGACATCCAATACATGTACTTTGGATAATGATGTCCAGCACATTCCACCATCCTTGCTAATCCCCTGCCTCCTCCCTTTCCCTCCCACCCCTCTTCCCTATCTAGAATTCATGGAATTCTCCCATGCTCCCCCTCCCTACCCCACTATGAGTCAGCCTCTTTATATCAGAGAGAACATTCAGCATTTGTTTTTTTGGGATTGGCTAACTTTGCTTAGCATTATCTTCTCCAACTCCATCCATTTACCTGTAAATGCCATGATTTTATTTTCTTTTATTGCTGAGTTAAATTCCATTGTGTACATATGCCACATTTTTTAATCCATTCATCCAGTGAAGGGCATCTAGGTTGGTGGAGCCCTGTCTTTTGCTTTGCCACTGTTCCCTGTCCCATTTCCCCCTTATTTCTGTGGTATTTTCAAATCATATGAATAAAGAATCCAAGAGATCATCATGGGCTACGGAGACTGCTAGAGTCTCCTAAGAGTCATTTGTCTCTTTCGTAACAACGATTCTCTGAGTTTTAGGTCAGAAAAAGGATCCCATTTCTATTGTTTTTCAGTCCTGATGCTGATTGTACCATGTGACCAGGCACAGACCAATGAGAAGTGAGTAGGTGATGTGATCAGCTCCTGGGTTATGGGATTAACAGAAGGAGCACAGCCTCCCATTTTCATCTTTATTTTCTCCCTCCCCGACTGTCATGTTGATATTACTGAGCATCATTTAGGACCACAAAGAATGATAGGACTCTTCTAGGGTTGGGGAGCAAGTTTTAAGATGTCTTGGGTCTGAAGCTGTGGAGCCTCCAAACAAGGTCTAGGACATATTCTGTTAAGGTCATTAGTGGTTCTTCAAGTCTCCACACCTACACTCTAACCAAGAAAAGATATGTTTTCCCTTTTAAAATTATGTTCCACTTTCAGGGCATTTTTGATCAATGTGGGTGATTGCTGAATCAAACCAACACAGAGAAAGAATATGAAAACAGGGAAAAATAACTTCAATGCAGATATGATGAGAAATGTTTCATTGATTTTTGGTTTGAGAAATCCCCAGAGAGTGGGAAGATACAAGGAGATGTGAAGGACAATTTTCTTTCCATCCTTCTTCTCTGCCTTATTTGATTTCCCAACAGGTGGCTTCTGAAAACCCATCAGGGATATCCTTTTCCTTCTTAGTTCAGATTGAACTGAGCCACTAGGTGACACCAGGAGGACACTGGAGGGCAAGGGGAGAGGGATGTGAGTTTTGATATTGCTCTGTACTGTGAGGCTGTGTGTTGGTGGTTATTCTCCACCTGCCTGGTCGCCTTCTAGTAATGCAGCTACAGTTGTGGTAGCTCTACCTGGCAATGGCTCCTTCCCTTCCTCCCTAATAGTCTAGGAGTGAAATAGTGTTTCACTCTTGCTTTCCTTAGGGCACCTCACCTGTATGCCATTTTTGTTCTAGTCCTGCCCATCTTTGTAGATAGTCCTTCCTCAAGAACTCTTCTCTCCTTTTCTCAGTCTAGTTATGTGTTTGTAAATTTTCTTTATCTTTTTGAGGAGCCATTTCTTTATTTTGTTGAAGTTTTGTGTTTTTTAGTCTCTATTTATTTTGGCTCTGAGCTTTATCATTTTCCTCTTTCTACTAATATTGTGTTTAGTTTGCTATTGTTTTTCTAGTCCTTGATATGTTATTGAAATCTTTCTACTGTTTTTTCTCTCTAAGATGGGAAAAACCACATTTTTT